CCAAATTGAGATTCCATATACCTTCATGGTTCTGCAGGTCCTGCCCCTATCTAACAGATATCATTGTAAATACTCCTCTATGCATGGCTTTCCCTGTCTACACAGAGGGTAATGGAATAGGCACCCCCATTCTTCCTTTTGGCCAGTCCTCAGCACTGAAAGCTTTGCACAAGAGTACTGCTATTTGTATGCACATAAGGCATTTCACCAGGTGAGTTATTTTGCTAAATGTTCATAAATAAAGTGACTTACCCGAATCTTTGCTAGACTAGTGCTACTTTCTCTTCACATGAGAGTGGGAGACTCTATTTTTAGGTGAGAGAATGTAAAACTTCCATGAGTAACTTCAAGAGTCGGAATAATTTGGGTAGGTCCTAAGGCACCTAGGACACAGGGAGTGTTAGAGTTCCTAAGCTATGGTATGATGATGTAAGTTATTTGCCCTATAAAAAGGCTATACACCTACATCCTCAAAACAGACATCCCATGGGCCGTGGGGTACATAAGCCTCAGAAAATGTGGTGGCTACAATGATTTCCTTAAGAAAGAGGTTTTCTGCTTTAAAAGCAGTTTTCTGCTTTAAAGTCATGTAGAGTCAATCACTTCAAGGTAATACATAAAGGTTGATAAACTATCACTTACATGCATATTTCATTTTTAACTTTCTGCCAGCTTATAAACCACTCCCTTTGGATTTTTTCGAGGAGGAAATAAATTAGAAAAACTTTTTTTTTTTCCAGAGCAGACAGACCTTGAAACTTCTTCCACAGCAAATTTCAAGGAATGTAGTACCCTTCTCAGCACCTGACAATCTTTTTTCAGCACCAAAATGCCTGGCTTTGGCAAGCTAAGGTCCTATTACCCTTGTGCACAGACATAAGAATTTCAGCCTGATCTGAGCTCAGACAAAGCTTTTCTGTTTCACTTTTCTGGTTTGTTTTTTTTTTTTTCCACCTTAATTTTTGTTTTAGTTAATAAGGAAGCCAGTTCATAAAATGCAAGAATGTGACAGCTTGAAGCAGACCACAGTGGGATAAATCTTCAAGCTGCTAAGGAAATACTGACTGACATCTTAAAATGTCTGCTGCTTCAAAATGCCCCACATAAAACAGGAAATACCACTTTGGCTCTACTACTACAAGAAAACCACTTTGGCTTCCTGTTAACAGAAAGACATGTCTTATAAATGAAGTAAGCCCAGGCCCTCATTGCAATTGGTCACTTTTGTACCACCAAGCAAGCAAAACAACAACAACAAAAAAAACCAAATCCCAAACTTCAACCACAGAAAGTGGACTTTCTCACATAGAAGTATGCTTACATGGACTCCCTTGCTACTTTAAAAGTCAAAAAATACAAGTTTTTATATTAAATCTATAAGAGACATGTAAGTTTACAGGCTCACATAATAGATGCAGCATGCCCGTAATTTTTCCTAGGTAGAAATTATCTTAAATTCTGAAATTCTACATAGTTTTAAATCAAATACCACCTCTTTTCTTCCTCTTCCTCCTTGTCTGTCCCATAACAGCCTTTTCTCTCAATATGAAGGTTTCCTCCAAAAAGAAAGTTATTTGGGAAAGGAAAAAAAAGGTTTAGCACATTATTTATTCCTGTTTATTCCTGTTTCAGTTTGGAGTAAATCATCTGAACTAGATGCAGAAAAAATTCACAGTCCCCATATGAAACCTCTCCCATCTTAGGAAAGGAAATGTTATCCCACCTCATTCTGCTAACTCGTGAGATTTACACCAACAGAGAGGTTCGATTTCCAGAAAAGTCACCAGAGACAGGCTGTAATACCAGCTGAAATTAGATATTGTCATTAGTTACTCAAAAATCTACATAGCTGGACTTCCTGCACCAATACTAGAAGGCTTCACTGATAAAGGAGTAATTGTACATGTGCACACATCCATGCACACACTTTCTCCCGAAAAAGTATATAAAACAAGTCCCATGAGGCAGATGGTTAAACAGATGGTTAAAGACATTTGGACATTCAC